GGAATTTACGCAGCTCATTTACACACTTTTCCTGAAGATAGAAGAGTTTGTTGAATCTGACGTGGCATGTTCGTACGAACCTTTCGTACGAACAAAAGTAAGAAAAATTTAGGATAAGAATATGATCATGTTCTTGCATGAGGCCCAGTTTTCCACAAGTCTTTCAGTTCATTCAGATTAAACTTTATGAACCTACAGTGCCTTTTAAAAGTACTTAAACCTTTAAGATGTTTTATTTTTTATTGCCATCATGAATCAGTCTTCGTCATTATAAATTGACATTTATAAAAAAAACTTCAGTCTTAACGTGAAATTATATTTCCACAGTGTACTACCAATGAAATCAAAATCATGTATGAAATGTAAAATAAACAACTGCAATAAATTCACTCCTAATTCAACTCAGAGGAAATATTATTGAAAAGTACAAGTCAGTTGATTTTTTGATGGATCTCAGTGATCCAGGTAGAAAAACAAATTGAGTAGGTCCTCTGGGCGTGTTCCTCTTTAATTAAACCATTTCTCTCTCTTCCAAGAGATTTCTTCAGTCTGAGGAGTTCCAGGTGAACTCAGCCTCCACATGGTGGACAAACAAGTTTAATGACGACAATCAACACTGTTTGTTTACATGCAAAAGAGGACCATCAATCTAACAATAGATCGTTAGTACCCTGATCATCACCTATTATTCATAGAGGGTCATGTGCCCCATCGCCTGACTGTTGTTGAGACCCTGATTATCTCCTATTGTTCAGAGGATGCTGAAACATACTTGCAATAACGGCATTGTAGGAGGGGGACAACTGGACACAGAAGCCTCCACCCCGTTTAATGACGGGCATTTTTTCTTCACAAAAATGGCTTCCTTTACTCCTCTCTCAAACCAACGTTGCTCTCTAACAATAATGAGAGCATCTTCATCCCTGAAAGAGTGACCGCTGGCCTGTAGATGAGTGTAAACTGCAGAGTCCTGGTCTGATGATGTTGATCTTCTGTGTTGGCTCATTCTTTTGAACAGTGGCTGTTTTGTTTGCCCAATGTTTATCTGATCACAGTCATCCTTGCACTTAACAGCATATACTATATTACTCTGTGCCGGTGGACCAGATATTTGGGATGAATCAATCTTTGCCGTAATGTATTTTGGGGTTTGAAAGCCACTGGGACATCATGTTTAAAGAATAAACATCTCCGTTTCTCTGAAACCCCTGCAACAAATGGAATGACCACTGGACTTTGTGTTGTCATTTGTATTATAATTTAAATGCTCACTCACAGAAGCCTGCAATAATGTGTTTTGTTTCTGAATTTTAAGAATTAAAAAATAAATTTCTCCTTGAAACCTTCAGGTCCGGGATTTGCCATCTTCGCTGTCATCCAGCTGCTGCTTCCTGTGATGTCACTCTGGCTGCAGCGAAGTCATGGTGACCACTCTTATTGGGATGTGGCAGCAGCAAACTTTAAGCATGCCATTGGCTTGTCATGTGAGCTAGTGGTGGAGCACGTCAACAGTTTCATACACTCAGGTAAAACGTGTGGAACTGCTTACAGGACAGTTTTTTTTCTTTTTCACATCTTTTTTCCATTTTCTTCTAATTAAAGATGAGAATTTAGTGTATACAAGCTTAGACAGATAAATTCAGCTTTATTCAGCAGGTTATTAAACCTTTGAGTTAGCTCAAGCAAAGGTTTGTTTGTTTGAGACATGTTTCATTGTTTGAAAATCAAAGCTTAAACCTGATTGAACACTCAGTTTGAAGATTGCTTGATTTTCCTATTGCATTCGTGCTTTGATAATCCAAACTGGTCCTGCACTGACACAGATCTGATGATGAACTGTTACAGATTTTCCCATGCATGATGAAAGCCTGATCAGGGTGAAATGGAGCGTGGCTGATGACTTGTTGTTGTTCCCTTGTCCTCCTCTTTAGTCAGATTGAATTGCAGCCTCTCCCATGTGTTTACTGGCCTGGGTGTTTTTGCAGATATTGGTTATGAGTCACTGATCAACCTGATGCTGAAGGACCTCTTCAAGCTGCTGGTAGCCTGTGTGTCTGAACCTGCAGAGACCATCTCCAGAGTAGGCTGTTCCTGCATCAGGTGACTAAACGTGTTCTTTAAACACCTCTCTGTGAAAGTTTAACATGTAGAGACACATTTCAGGTTTTAGAATATGCTTTTGGGAAGATTTGGAGTAATGTATGTAATAACTTCAGAATGAAGAACCGTAAGATTTTATTCCCTAAAGTCTAAGTTTATAAAAATGTTTCAATGAGTCATCCAAACAAGGTTCAGTAAAAGTTAAGTACAAATACTTTGAAATTTTGCTTATATATAATTTACTGGAGTAAATATTTTTCAGTCAACTTTTCACTTCTACTCCTTACATTTTATAAAGTAAAAGAAAAAACAGGTAAAAGTAAAATTTTATTTACAGTATATAGCGCCTTTCACTGAAATAAATTCACAAGGTGCTGTACAAACAGTTAAGAACACCCATTCAAGAAGACACACATGACAATCATGGGGAACAGGTGAACAGGTCATGCAGCAACAGAGACAGTTGCGATACCTTTAACAGCTTGCTAGAAATACACAAGAGGAAAGTGAGTTTAAAAAATTGTTCTGATCCTATGTTTAGGATTGGTGGGGGGGTGCTTAGGTCAGATAACACATAGGGGGAGGTAAGATGGGGCAGGATCAGAGGAGTAGGTGACGTTGAGGGAGGAGGGTCTGTGTTAGGACCCAGCCCTGGCCACCTCCAGAGTCCAGAGTCACATGATGTTATCGTCTCCTGCTCATTTAACCAGAGTTCAGAGTTTCTCTTTCTTGACCTTGGGTTCCAGAGCTAGGACCAGCACAAGTGATGGGAGTGGGAGGGGTCAAGCCTTTCTTGACATTCAACCCGGGGAGTTTCAGATAACGTGCCCATCAAGGCCGTTTCACTGCTAGCCAGTAGATAATCCAATTTGTTTTGGAACAAAGCAGCTTGAAATTTTCTGCTGCTTTTAAATGTCTTAACTGCATCTCTGAAGTGGCAGGGAAAAAAAAGAAAAACCAATCAGCCGAAATTAGGCTCTTCCTCACCTCTCACCGACTGAAGCTTCATCCAGGTGTAATCCTTACATGCTAGAGGCTCGCTCCTGAGCTGCGACAAAACATATGGACCCACTCTTAAAAGTCAAAGTAAGCTTTTGCTTGCTTTCAAATATTTTTCTCTACATTTACATCAAGTCGTGTTTTTCCTGTTTTCTCTGCAGGTATGTGTTGGTCACCGTGGGTCCGGTGTTCACAGAGGAAATGTGGAGGTTGGCCTGCTGTGCTCTGCAGGATGCTTTCTCTGCTACATTAGAGCCTGTGAAGGTACAAACCACCACACACACCATCAGCTGTATGAAATTAACAAGGCTGCATAAGTCTAAAACTGCGTACAAACATGTTGATCTGTGTTAAAGCACATAATCCACCCCCCAGTCTGAAGCTGCTGTTTGAGAAGGACCTAATCTGAGAGCCTTTACTGTTAATACTGTCATCATTTTATATGAGGTTACACACACGTTTGTTTTTATATCCCCGTGGGGACTGTGGATCGACTTCTATTTATTTTCTGGTAATTTTATAGCCTAACCCTGACCATTTCCTCTAAAATTACTTGACCCTAAAACTAACCTAAACCGAATTCACACCTTGGTCCTAAACCTAACCACTGACCCATAAACGTATTTCTGCCAATGGGGGCCGGGCTTTTGTTCCCATAAGGAACAGTGAGTGGGTCCTCATCAGGCTTTGTGTACCAGGAAAATGGCCAAAAATTGTCCCCACCAGGTAGCAAAAGCACACACACACACACACACACACACACACACACACACACACACACACACACACACACATCTGTGTCATCCAACTGACCTGAAGGAACAGGCCTCCACAGCTAGGAACAGGC